TGAAGTGAATAGCTATTTTATCCGTCTACAGACTTTCATTTTCAATCACTCCCAAATAAAATTTATTCAATAAAATGTTGCTGTGTTTTCGTAAAATAAGTTCTAAAATAGATCACCTTTTCACTAACACTTGGGTTGAAAAACATTACATAACAATCAGCTGGGTAAATTGATTACAGGTAAACATTTTACTCTAGCTTATGTAACGTTTTTATATGAAAGGTTGGTGGAAAAAAGCTAGGCTAAGTACATTTATACTGCAAGATACGTTTTAGAATTAACAGATCCATAGTTTTTTAATGATGTTGTAAGCCTCTAAAATATTGGACAGCATAAAAAACCCTCACCTCCGTTAACAAAATTAAAATATTTCTCAAGTAGGTGTTGAAGACTAAAAGTGACTTAATACAAAGTTTGCGTGTAACATAACTGTTTATTATTCCTTAGCGAACAGTCAACCTCCTTAAGATAATACTTACTTTTGGATTTTTTAATTACTAGATAAGTCAATGGGGTCAGCATTGAATGTAATTAATATTTGTCAATGTATATCAATATTATTTACATACTGTTTATATATTTTACTTTCAGCCGTAGTTATCTGTAAAGTAAAATATGCATTGAGGATGTTAATATCGTGAATGATTTGAATCGCCATCACATTTTTTAAAGTTTGTAATTTCAGTGATTTTAAAAATTAAAATAAAACTATTGTAGTCACATAAATACATTTCTGTTAAAGGCCTTCGCTTCAGATTTTTCCTTTAAATATATTCAACTAATTTGGCAAATAATTCAGTAAAAAATATGCCAAGTTAAAATGTATAAAACGAACATCACCATGAAGTAGGTAAATAAATAATTTACAACAAATTACAAGACAGACTAAGCGATGCATTAAAGCTTCTGTTGTATATTAAATCATAAATAATAATTATCAATACGAAGTCACTGCAAGTTATATTCAATGCTTAATGCTTACTAAGAAAGAAACAGGAATACATGCTAAAGCTCAAAGGTCAAAGGCTGAAGACCAAGAACTGGAGAGGATTGACTTCTCTTCTGTATGAACTGTGAGTATAGCAAGAGAGTAAAATGTGCACTTGTTAGGGTTAATATTTTCCCCCTAAAAATATACAATAATTTGGCGACGAGCTTGTGGAAGTCTTAAATATTAGTTTAAAAGTTATTAAAACAGTGTTTTCTAGTACAAATTCTACAAATAAAAGTGAAATATTAGTAAAATCTGCATCAAGAGGAGACAAGTCACATGTTCAGTTTTCACAAAAAGTTACAAGTCAACTATTGCAAGTTTATAAGTTGATTAAATTTTAAAGCTGAGTTTTTATTGATATCTGGAAAAAGGAATATTTTATTTCAAAAACACACAAAGGCAAGGTATTTATGTAAAATATAGGACTTGTCATCAATTTTCATGTTAGTACAGAACTTTGCAGAAACCTGTTCAGACAAAGCATTTTGCAGGAAATCCCAAGTGGAAATATTATAAATTTGGAAAATCATTTGCAACTTTTTGTAACTTTTAAAGCAAATGGATCTACTTCAGTAATATATAATCTTCTTAAAGGTTAAAAGTAAAATTAAATCAGTCAAATGCAATGAAATGGACTTATGTTTCTTGGAATAGGCCTAGGCTAGTCCTGACTTTGGAAAGTTTTTTACTGTACTGTTCATGCCTAAAGCAAACATTTGCCATAGCAAAATGTCAGTTACTGGTAAATTCTCTGAATTTAATGAAGAAGTGGAAGATCTTAGTAATTATTTGGAAAGATTTGAGTTGTACATAAAAGCTAATTCTGTGAAGGAAACAGAAAAAGTTCCATTATTCCTTACTGTTATAGGGCCTAAAGTTTTTGGAGTTTTGAAAAACTTATTGCTTCCCAAAAAGCTTGCTGATGAAACTTATGACAATTTAATTAAGGCTTTAAAGGGTCATTTCACACCAGAAAAGTCAATTATTTCTGAAAGGTGTAAATTTCACAAAAGGTTCCAAAAAGATGGGGAAACGTTAGCTCAGTACGCAGTGGAGATTAAACATTTAGCTGCTTCTTGTGATTTTGGTAATTTCTTAAACGATGCCATGAGGGACCGCTTTGTTAGTGGGATAAAAAACGAGGATATTCAACAACGGTTGATGACAGAGACCGATTCAAATTTTTCGCAACTCTTTGAACTTGCTTGTAGGCTAGAGGCTGCAAGGAAGGAAGTCAAAGGATTTCATTCACAGGGAGAAGTGGGTGAAATAGATTTTGTAAAATCGTACAGACACAGTTCTAAGCCTAGTGGGGGTAAAAACAATTTCCAAAAGCCAAAACTAGGTTATGTCAAAGGTAATAACCTCATGGAAAATAAGAAAGACTATAAATGCTACAGGTGTGGCAAAACTGGTCATAATTGTAATATGTGTTTCTTCAAAGGAGCACGATGTCACTCTTGTGGTAAAATAGGCCATTTGTCGAGTGTTTGTAAGCAAAAACATGGAAAGCCTAAACCTACTAGTAATAGGTCAAGAGTAAATTTTGTAACTGATAGTCCAGATGAAGATGTAAATACTTGCTATGATTTACAGTGTGTTTCTTTGATAAATGAAGTTTCTTTTGATAACAATTATCGAACCACCTTGATGGTCGAAGACAAACCATTGGATATGGTTATTGACACCGGTGCTATTATGACTGTTTTACCTAAACATATTTATGATGATAAATTTAGTCATATAAATTTAAGGCCTACTGAGTTGCAGCTGAAGTCGTACACTGGACACCCATTGGATGTTTTGGGAGAGTTCAAAGCCGCAGTTTCGCACGAAGGAAAGGACTACCATCTACCTGTAGTGGTTGTAGGAATCACCGATCATCGACAGCCAGCACTGTTGGGACGTAATTGGCTACATCAGTTGAAGTTGGACTGGAACAGGATATTACAGGTTGGATCTGGAAATAATGCAGGCAAGTCTAGCCATAATGTTTCTACTTCTACCGCTTCTGTAGAAAATGACTTGAAAAGTAAATTTATGGATGTTTTTGAAGGGCAAATGGGTCTAATTAAAGGTATCACAACGGAGATTGCTGTAGATGAAGAGGCGACTCCAATTTTTTGTAAGGCTAGACCTGTTCCATATGCTTTAAGAGAATCAGTCGAGAAAGAACTTGATAATCTTGTTAAATCTGATGTTATTTATCCAGTCAAAGATAGCCAGTGGAGTACACCCTTGGTTTGTGTTTTAAAACCTGACGGAAAATCAGTGCGACTGTGTGGGGATTTCAAAGTAACCTTAAACCGAGTCTTGAAAAATTCGGAGCATTATCCACTCCCTACATCAGAAGATATTTTCACAAAACTTTCAGGTGGGAAAATATTTTCAAAAATTGATTTGACTTCAGCCTATTTGCAGTTAGGTGTAGGCGAAAAATCGCAACCATTCTTAACGGTAAACACCCACAAAGGTCTTTTCAGGTACAAAAGACTACCCTTTGGGATTACGAGTGCACCTTTTCAGTTCCAAGCGGTCATGGACCGGATCCTAAAAGGATTAAATAGTACATACTGTTTTCTGGATGATATTTTGATTGTAGGCCACAACATGCAAGATGCAGTAAACAAAACCGAAGCTCTTCTAGTGCGACTTAAAGAATTCGGTATCAAGGCTAACTACCAGAAAAGTGAGTTCCTTAAACCCAGTTTGAATTTCCTTGGACATAGGATTGATGAGTTCGGAATACACCCTACCGATAAACTAGTTAAAGCTATTTTGGATGCACCCGAGCCTACCGATGTTACCCAGCTAAGAGCCTATCTAGGCCTATTGAATTTTTATGGGCGTTTTCTCCCTAACCTATCCACGTTGTTATACCCATTGCATCAGTTGCTTCATAAAGCCAAACCCTGGCAATGGAATTCAGAATGTTCAAAAGCTTTTAATGAGAGTAAACTGCTTTTAACTCAAAGTAATGTTTTGGTACCTTATGATCCAAAGTTGAAAATCCAAGTGACATGCGATGCAAGCCCTTATGGGATCGCCAGTGTTATGTCTCACACTATGCCGGACGGATCTGTCCGACCAGTTGCGTATGCTTCTCGAAGTCTTACAAAATCCGAAATGAACTATGCTCAGTTAGATAAAGAAGCCCTTGCTATCATATTCGGAGTAAAGAAATTTCACAAATATATTTTTGGTCGATCATTCACATTGATTACGGATCATGCCCCTTTAACAGCACTCCTAGGAGAGAAAAAGGGTATCCCAGTTCTTGCAGCTGCCCGCATGCAACGTTGGGCAATAATTTTGTCTGCGTATGACTACCACATCATATATCGAAAAGGTTCTGAAATTGTAGAAGCTGACGCTCTTTCACGTCTTCCTAAGAAACTCGACCCAAACTCTGAAGATATTTCAGTTATTCAGTTTTTTGCTCCATTTCCAGAACTACCTCTCACAGCAAAAGAAATAAGTCTTGCAACCCGAAGAGATCCGTTGTTTTCTAAAGTCTTAGATTTGACACTTCAAGGCTGGCCTACACATTTAGATAAGGATGAGCCATTAAGAGCTTTCTTTCTGAGAAAGAACGAACTTTCAGTTGAAAATGGTTGTATTCTTTGGGGAAATCGAGTCCTCATTCCTACTAAATTTCAAAAACACCTCTTAGACATGTTACATGAAGAACATCCTGGTGTTTGCAAAATGAAAGCTTTGGCCAGAAGTTTTGTGTGGTGGCCTAAAATTGATGACCAAATTGAAAATGTTGTTAACACTTGTGAGATTTGTCAAATGACCCGTAAATCTGCCCCTAAGCTGCCTCTACAGCCGCCACGGCTGTAGAAAATCCTTTTCAACAGCCTTCACAAATAGATTTTGAAGGCCACTGCCACAGTGGCCTTCAAAGAAATGGCAGCGTGTGCACCTAGATTTCGCTCAGAAGGATGGTGTTTATTTTCTGATACTAGTGGACAGTTTCTCTAAATGGGTCGAAGTATACCAAATGAATGGTACCAACGCCTCAAAAACTATTGAAAAATTACGTACATGCTTTGCCGCATATGGAGTTCCGGAGAACATCATCACAGACGGAGGACCGCCTTTTAGGTCAGAAGAATTTGAAAGTTTTTTGAGATTCAATGGAATAAATCACATTTTCTCCCCTCCATATCATCCGGCGAGTAACGGCCAAGCAGAGTCTATGGTGGGTACTTTTAAAACATCTCTCTTAAAGCAAGTACTCCAAGACAACCTCAAGGGCCAAAATCGGACTTTGCAGCACAAACTGGATTGTTTCATGTTCGCTTACCGAAACACACCTCACTCAATCACTGGTAGAACACCTTCGGAACTATTTTTGGGTTTTCAGCCTAGAACCAGATTCACTCTGCTAAAACCAGATTTCAAAAGCAACATGGAGAGCAAGCAACAGAAAATAAAAGAATCCAGTGACCAACATAGAGGAAAATGGAGGTCGTTCACACTAGGACAGGAAGTCTGGGTCAAAAGTATCCGTAACGAAGAAACAAGATGGATGCCGGGAGTTATTATCAAGTGTATCAGTCCTGTGACTTACATTGTTAGCGTAAGGGGACAGAAACGGTTTGTACATGCCGATCATTTGAAAGAGTTGGAAGGTGAATTGCCCATTATGAGAAGAGAAGAACCAGAAATCACTCCTCCACGACCCTTACCAGTGCTATCACCAAGCAAAAGTCTGGTCGAACCTCCTATACATGTTGATCAATCACAGAGTCCCACGAGATCACCACCACCTCGGAAATCTTTACCACCTCAGAAATCTCCATCACCTCGGAAATCTCCATTACCTAAAGGAAGTATAACTCACGAACAAGAACCCCTGCGGAGGTCCAAAAGGATGATAACGGCCCCGCAGAAACTTAATCTTTAGTAGACAAGAGAACAAGTTCGCAGCAAGATTAAGTTAATTTTATTTTACATTTGACAAACAATGAATTTTATGTTGAAATGAAGATGCTGCGAACATTTATAAAAGAAGAGTTATTTTATTTTATTTTCAAGAAGAGTTTAAGTTTTTTTTTAAAGGGGAAAGGAGTGTTGTATATTAAATCATAAATAATAATTATCAATACGAAGTCACTGCAAGTTATATTCAATGCTTAATGCTTACTAAGAAAGAAACAGGAATACATGCTAAAGCTCAAAGGTCAAAGGCTGAAGACCAAGAACTGGAGAGGATTGACTTCTCTTCTGTATGAACTGTGAGTATAGCAAGAGAGTAAAATGTGCACTTGTTAGGGTTAATATTTTCCCCCTAAAAATATACAATAGCTTCAAGAATGTCTTTAGACTTCCATCTCTCCATCCCCCTTCAACAAACACACTTCAGCTCAATGAAAAGTTTATTTTGAACATAAAATTACTGTGTTTGAGATTTTGCTGTGTAAACGGTAGAAGAGAGAAATAATGTTGCGATTGTATTTAGTTACACGAAAAAAACCAGTTGGGTTGTAGAGAAAAACACATTTTAAATATTTTTGTAATGTCCACAAATGTTTGATATTATTCCTGTAACATGACTGTTTGGCAGCTCAATTCATACAATTGAAAAACAACAATACTGGTCCCATTTGGAACTGATTTGTTTATTCTCCTCGCAACAAAATTTCCAATATGAGAATCACTATGTAAACAATCAGTTTTAACAAGTGAGTATTATTGTTTTCGATCGATGTCGTACAGAAAGTCACAATATATTTCTAGAATTGTGGTATTTATTTTGTCATTGGTTATTTTCTCCTTTCGTGGTAAACTGTTATTTCTACTCATGTAAAAATGAACAGTAAATGTGTTTGTATTTTTACTATAACGACCAATGTAAACAATCATTGCTTTATTAAAAGTTCCAAGTGGTCTTGACACCTTTAAATGCAGTTATTGAATGTTACCTGTACGTATATTGGACTTAGAGTAAATTGTTATTCATTATGCCTTATTATAATTATTAATTGTGCTGTACATGTTAATCGGGGGCGTTGATGCAACTTACAAATTATTGTTTATATTAGGTTACGTAGGTATTGAAAAAAATAAATGGTTCAATGCTTAGTATTTATTCCGTATATGTGCCTCCAAACGAGTTTTTTTTATTTTGAAATCTTACTTTATAGTTTTGTACCTCCTGAATCAAAATATACCAATAATTTTTCAACGCTGATGAATATTTCTCAAGATATCGCTGTAAAAATATACAAAACTACAATAAACGAGGTAGGATTTATGCCATTTACAAGTGGAATGAACTGTGGGTTAACTAAGCCTACAGCTGACTGTTTTCATCCATACTACAAGCAACTGGAAGTAACAACTTATGCACTTTATTAACTCACTCTGATTTTGTCATCGGCAATATGCCTAGTGACGTCATTTTACTTCACTAAAAAAACACAAATCAAAAATACTCATACGTGCTGCGTAGTGCTAGTCTGCTACGCCGTCATAAGTTCAGGTTAAGTGAGAAAGACATGTTTGATGAGAAGAATAACATCGTTGATTAAACATGATAACATCGTTGTAGAAACATTTCAAGTCTCTATATTTAGGCATGTCAGGGTGGTAGATCGTGCTTTATGCGAATTGGTGACTGAATTAAGTGTTTTGAAGTTAGGTTAGTTTGGAAGATAAAGTTTAGGTTTTAATGCATCGAGTTGTTAGTTTATATCACTCGCAGACTGTTTTTGTAAAATTAAAAACCTGAGAAAAGCATTCCAAGTTACTATTTAAAAAATGCTTAAATTTTAATTAAGTTAACGAGTTTAATTAAGACGTGTCGAGATACAATTATACATGACATATTATTGGTTTCCAATAGGAGGAATAAAATTGGGACACCGTAAAGTGTTTACCTCTCAATACTTCAGTAACGAATGATATTAGAGCAATAAAAAAAACTTAATTGTTTTTCGAGCTAAATCAGAAGGTGGAATGAAAATAAAATATATAAAGGATTTCACTATATTACAAATATTTAAAAATCTGTCAAAAATATAAAACACACCCCTCTTCCAATAGTCCGATATAGCGGGTTTTGGTTTATGTTTTGGTAAATTTTCCTAATGATATCCTTGAAAGAAACAGAAGTCTTGATTGACGAAAAATAAACAAAAACCAAAACAAATGGAAGAGATTCCAATCACATGTTTAATTAGCGTGGGGGGAAGATAGAAAAGTTTTTACACTCCATATTTTTCGACTACTGGACGACCTCTAGTATAATTTAAAATAACTCTATGTTTAAATTAAACATTGGCGTTATAGGTTGCCATTGTGTAAATGTAAACGAAACAAAGAATCATAGCATATGTAAAAATCAAGCCACGAACTAATCACAGTACAAAGGGAAAAATTGAATGACGATCAAATAATACAGAGAAGGTCTATTGTATAGGAACATGGTTTATGACTATCTTTAGGTTATTGCCAAGTAAATGAAAAAAGTAATTAAAACAATTTTTTTTATTAAAAAGATTTTACAGTTTTACAATGAAAGTTGCTTGCATTCACATTGAAAACATCTTTTTACAATAATCTAATATGATACTGTTTGTTTAAATTTGCTTGCTTATCATGTGCTAAAAACGGATTTTTGTTGATTCCTAATAATTCATCTCACCAAATATAAACCCATAAGGCCTCTTAAGCATCTTTTAAGTTGCTAATATTAGTAAATAACTTCAACTTCGATTAAGTAAATATTAATTCGTAACATATAACTTAAATTTCAGTATCCTGTTAGGTTATTATATGCTTTACATTATTAAAAAGTCATACAAATCCACCTCTTCCTTACCTTCTTTTCTTCCATTTGAACTGTCAACATGTCCTGCATACTTTTCTTCATTCGATCTTCCAATGTTGATTTCACCAGATTCTTAAAGTCCGTCCAAACCTCGTCTTTGAGATTGTTGGGCTTATTGAAGGTGAATGTAACATCCTCGATGACTACAAAACATTCTTTGATGCTCGGTGCTGAGTTGACGGTGAAAACGGCTTGGCTATCTTTGAATTGAAGATTCTTTATAAGTTGTGTGAATACACGCCTTCCATTTATTTCCTTTATGGTGATTTCAGCATCCATCTTCAGGTCGTATGTCATTAAGTAAGCAGTCGAAGAGCCTCCGTTCGACATATCGACATATTCGATGGATATCGAAGAGGGTTGATCCAATGGTTGACTGCGGCTAACTGTTTCCCGGTGCGTAAGTTGTACTTTGTTTACTTCAAAAACAAAGAGTACTGGTCTATCATCTTCCACTTTCACACCATTGATAGAGGATAATTTGTTGGGTGTGATTACCTTTGCGATTTCTTCCTTCAACACATCAATGGACTTAGTACGCCTGTAAGATGACGCCAGTTCATCACTTAAGCCGAAGTTGTTGGAAGCTGCGAGAGTCAGTAGAGATGTGAAGCACAAGAGCTGCAGTACCACCATGTTGTAGTCTCTAACTGTAGTGATGTGGCAGCAGACTGTATTTAGCCAACTTTAAATATTAATAGCTCACAATAATGGCCACGATTAGTGTTAAGTGGCATATGGCGTACACAAGGTTATATTTAATCGGCAACAGAACATACCGTTAAAAAATTCAAGTTTGGAAGATCGAATGTGTTACAACAAATTCATAATTTATTGAACGCCACACTCCTAAATAGACGTATTTTAAGCAGCTATTTTCATAAATATAAAAAAATGTGTGAACAATGAATAGTTTTCTAATCTTACTGCCAAAGGAATGCACTTTGTGAAATAAACATTTTAGCTGTAAAAACACTTTTTTAGTTAATTCTAGTTATAAATACATTTGCAATCTACTCAACATACATATAATACGGTATACGTAGATACGTACACCTTTAAAGAATGTTTGATTTATTTTATGTCAAGTTATTTTATTTTTTTTATATTTAACTTTCCAAGGACTTGATTACACCCTTCACATTAATTTTTGTGGAATTAAATTTTCTTGTGACAAGCTGGCCTTAAAAAGTAAACGGACGAAACTCTTGTTTACAGTGTAATGGTGACAGACAAGACCATAACACACGAATTAACCTGGTTTCGCAAGAGCTCTGATAGAGTTTTGACTATCTAGTTAAAGATATACTAAAATACCCCCGCCGCAGCAAACCTGCAGACTAAGCGAATTTCCATTTGACTGATTGGATTTATACTGAAATGTCTACTTAAAAATATAACATTTATTCTTTATTTAAATAGAATTAGTTTAACAAGTACTTAGGTTTGCTGCATCAGGGAGGGTAAAACTGTTTTTTTTTTTTTTTTTTTGTAAAATGTGAATAGTTAGTAAGAAATGAAAACATTTTCCAAATTTGATCAAAATATTTCACAAACAAGCAAACTACAACAGTTTACTTATTCTCCATAAGAATAACATGGGAATTTTAAATTTACAATTTTTTTGAATTTTCTCCGTAACCATTAGTCGCATAATAACGCTTCAATATACTAAATTATTTGTTTTTTTAAGCTCTACAAAATGATTTGGAAAAAAATTGCTAAATTTTTGTTTTTTGGGTCAAAAATGGGAAAAACCTATTTTTACCCCATAAAACCCCCCGTAAACCCCCGTTCCCATGGTCCGATCATGCTGGATCGCGAACTCGTTCGAATAAACGTACGTTTACACGTTTGTACCAAATTTCATCAAAATCGGATCATTTTTGCTCGAGTTATCGTGCTGACGGACACATATATATATATATATATATATGAATTTGAACAGATGGTGTTTTTGGCCTCTAGGGACCTCAAAACGAAAAAAAAAATCGGTCCCGCGTCCAGGTCTTACCATGAGTACTACGGTAATAGCTTATTCCCTATATGGGAAATTCGCTAAAAACAAGCAC